TTATAACCAAAACCAAATAACTTTACTCAACCAAATTTAGAATGACAATTCTTAGTGATTCACATTGGTCCTATCACTCAAAGTTAAAACCCTCAACTTTAGCACCCATTACTGTCAGAATGTACACCCATATTAACATACAGTATAAATATCCATAATTCTATTATGACCTTCCTCATCCTAAGAATAACTACAGATCATCATCTCAATGCATTCCTAGTACTATTAATTTAGCAGTGTATATACCTTCTACCCAAATTAGCAAATTTTGATAAATCCAAATGTATTATTACCACAGCTAACCAACCCCTTCCTTCCCCGGCACTTAAATCTTCTGGCGTCTCTTCCTTATGTTCTTCAGACATCTTCATATTTCAAAATGACTTGCCCATGATAATGTCCCAACTTCAATGTCTCATCCGAGTCACCACCATCCCTTCAACCTCATTGTGTGTTGTCCATTTGCCAACCAGTATACCAACAACATGAGAAATGTTGTATTCGAACCGATCCTTCTCCATTCTCACTCAATGGTGGACTCCTGTCCCACTACCTCAATATAAAAACATGAGAGAAAATCAGTTGACAGCTTCGATTGGCTGTTGTACGCCGGTTGCAGGTAGAAGTGGTACTGTACAGGAACGTCTTCAATGCATCTGATGTTCATCTTCAGCCGGTTCAGAGGTTGTTTCTTTTTGTAGATTCACACCATTCTAGGCCAAATTATCCCTGCTATGCATCAAGACACCATCCGTACTTACCTCAATAGAAGACAGAACACAACATTTTAATTGAGTTCATTCCCAATCCAAGAAATCCATATAAGCATTGATTATATGACAAATTATTATGTTTTACCAATCATTCTGAATACCAATGTCTAATATACTCCCCAATTTATGTTAGGTAAACCCTCCAAATACAGAGAAGTGAATGGTGTGACAGTCAGGTGAGTCTTGAAATTCTGGAAGATCTTGAAGTTCTTGGAGGTCTGTCCCTCCGCCGAGGGAATCAGCCAGAACACGTAGCTCATCAGTAGCATTCCCCTTTCCATCGTCTCCCATCACCTGATCCTTGTGTGCTCCAGCATCCTCAGCTCCCTCATCTCTAGGTCGTTGGTTTCCTCGTAGTACTCAGTTGCAGTGGTTTACATGATACCAGGTCGATCTCCCCTCTATCTATACATCCGTTGGTGTAGACTGGGTGACGATGTATGGTCCTTTTAGATCTGACCCTTCTTCCTTCAGTAGGGTCTAGGATCATGCAGAGTCCTTCTCCACTTATCAACATCGCTCTGTGGAGTGTGTCCTTCTGGCAGCGTACCAATAGGGAAGTTGAGAGTCCCTGCTGCAAAGACACACAGACATAGACACAAAAGAAACAATGCTCCGCAGTGGTGGTGCCATCTTCCTCCTCTGGGTTGGAACACTCTTACAGTGGGACACATAGATGCAGGTATCTCTCTCTGCTACTTTCCCCTCCATCGAGGTAGCCAGCAACACCTAGTACTGACCTCCCCACCTGGATTTTGTCCATCTCTGACTTCTTTGATCCTTTACCGCCAGTCTCCAGGGCACAGACAATGCCCAGATTCTCCTGTTAGGTTTGGCATAGAAGCCTTCACTCTTGGGAAGAAAGTCTTAGCAACATTGTTAGGTGTGACACCGTATGCTACTATACCCTGTCTTCTTATCAGTCAGAAGAAGCCTTAATATTAGGAAGTGCAATTTTTTTGCATCTTACCATAGGTCACTAGTTTCATAGACAGGCCTCCTCTACATACTGCCTTATACCACAAATACACTTTCACCTAAAAAATTTAGTCTAACCCATAACACATCAATTACTACTGCTCATATTCTTAATATAATTTGCATATTTACCAAAAAACCTAATTCGAGCTGTACTTCCCCCCTTTGGACACATGACTCACATCGTGATTCATGTGTTCAAAAACAATTATTTGTTAACTCAAAATAATAAATGACATTAAAATGACAACATTTGATAATACCTTAACCTAATTGTATCCCATAAAGTAATTCAAGTAATATCAACATTGACTAGCACCAGGTGTTCCTCATTCCGGACTAGCTCTCTCACTCTTACCTTATTATGGTCCGAATCACATATATGACTATTGCCAAATTATAAACTTCTTCATAATTATCAGTATTATAAACTATCTCAACTCGGTATAACACATTACCTTAAATTACTCATCCCATGCCTCTTGGCTTTACAGTATGGGTGATCAATTCACACTAGAAAGTCAGGACAGAGTTCAGAGGTCATTCAAACCCTTCAAAGAAGTGTTCCATTCTATAGTATAAACTAATCATTAACAACAGTTCATCAATATTTTTATCCTTGTCCTCTCTCCCACATGCAGCTCAGGAGTTTACAAACATTCATAATCTTGTATCAAACAGTCGTCATATCAAGAAGTACACTTCTACCTCTGGGACTATAAGCTTGTTATCTCCTATTTCATACTAGTCTCTGTCTCTCTATTTAACCAAGCAAACAGACGTAAACATCTCCTTCTGGGTCAACATGTGAGAACTGCAAATAATTCGATCACAGTCGGGGCTATAAGGATACACATCTATGTTTTGGTTAGGACATGTTCAATTAACCTTTAAACCAATTACTGTGGAAGAGCAAAAAGACAGGCTAATAGCAGCATTACAGCAAATTACAAAGTTATCCCAAATATATTTTTTTACTAAATGAATACATTAAACCACCTTGGTTATTGTGAATATTGATAATGGGAACCGATGATACAATGACAGAGACAACACACAAATGTGTATTTGTAGAAACCAGAACAAAACATAATTGTGGAGCAGCAACCTCTTTGGACTGCCTCGCTATATTACACAATCTCTATAATCTGACCAACCCACACAACTGATTGAATATGGAGATGTCTCTGAGGGACATGTACAGTATGTGGATGGGGTTTACAGATCCTCCCAAAACTAAAGATGATGTAGCGCACCCACTTGATTTGGTATAATGATGCTCATCTAGTGTATCCAGGGCACTGAGACAAAATCATGTGTTTTTGAGATATTTCAGTATTCTTATCCAGCTATTTGAAATTATATAGATAATTAATAAGTCAATTGTTATTATAAATAATTGGCTATAAGTGACATAAAGCTGTGAGTAGGGAAACAGATTAATGTTGCCACCTGGTGTTCTTTGATTGAAATTGGGACCTGGTGTGAGTCTCATCAGAGGTGTAGGCAGAGAGGAGAAAGTGTTGTGTTGTGTCACGTAGTCCCGTAGTAAGGTGTAGCTCAGTTGGTAGAGCATGGCGCTTGCAACGCCAGGGTTGTGGGTTCGATTCCCACGGGGGGCCAGTATGAAAATGTATGCACTCACTAACTGTAAGTCGCTCTGGATAAGAGTGTCTGCTAAATGATGTAAAATGTAAAATGTGTCATGTCCACAGGGACTATAATAATAATAATTGGTCATTTAGCAGACGCTCTTATCCAGAGCGACTTACAGGAGCAATTAGGGTTAAGTGCCTTGCTCAAGGGCACATCGACATATTTTTCACCTAGTCGGCTCGGGGATTAGAACCAGCGACCTTTCGCTTACTGGCACAACGCCCTTAACCACTAAGCTACCTGCCACCCGCTAGGCTGTAAAAGTGAGAAGTGGTGGCCATTTGGTCCTGAAAAGGTCATTCTAACATTTCAGCAGAAATCAAACAAGCTAGCACCTTGTCCATGCCAGTCAGCAATATAGAGTCAGGAACAGTCACACTAGCACACCAGTGCGAGTATATGTGCCGAATACCTTAAGATTTTACAGGTGTCAAACTTATGGGCATGTGGCAGCAGTGTGTAGGAGGAATATTCCAAGGTGTGAGAAGTGTGCAGAAGGGCATGAGACAAAGGAGTGGGGAAAGTGGTGGTGTGTGCTAATTGTAGGGGTAGCCATGGGGCTGGGGATCAAACATGTCCAGTGCGAGAGAAGCAGGTTGAGGTATCCAGGGTAAGAGTAGAGAAGAAGTTGTCATATGCAGAGGCAGTGAAGAAAGTAGAGGAAGATCGGTCAAGGGGGAGGGATCCTGAGAGAAATGGTATGAGTAGTAGAGATGTACCAGTACAGAGGGATAAACCAATAAGTGATATATGGTTCAGCAAGATTGGATTTTTAGCGTTTATAGCAATGGTTTTTAATTGTACTACAGGGATGGAATGCAAATCGAAGAAAATTGAGGTGTTTGTGGCAGCTGCAGAGAGATATTTGGGTGTGCGAAACTTGACAGTAGAAGAGTTACAGGGAGTGTTAAGTGGTGATGTCCCATCAACTCAGGTTGAGGGCATGAGGTAGGAGTGAGTGTATTTAAACAGTGGAGAAGGGTGGGGTTAATTATTAGTTGTAGTGTTGAAGGTGTGAGTGTAGTGTTAATGGTAGGATATTTCTTTGCTTTGGTTTATTTAATTTTTCAAGGAAAGATAAAGGAGTTGAACTCCAGTCTAGTAGGTGGCGGTAATGCAACAAATTAGATGCCAACCGCCGTTAAACCTCATTGAAGAAGAAGAAGAACACACTAGCACACAACCACAGTCAGTAAAGACACACACACATTTTGTGCTTTAATTGAGTGACATCAGGGATACAGGTTTGAAGTTGTGCCACTTTAATGTGATACTTCACTAATAACTTGGAAAAGTAGACAATTCCCACTTATTTACATAAATTAATTACAGTAGGCCTCAATTCTCAAAATTATTAGATATTCTGGGGATTGAGTCTCACCTTGATGTCTGTAAACTACATAGGCCTGTGTGTTTAACCTACAGAAAACGTACAGCCTACACACTAAAAATAAAAATAAATCTACACACTAAACATGTTGACATGTATTCAAAAACTAGCTACGTTTCTTCACGAAGGATGGAAGTCTTCACCAAGGACCAGACTGAAAGAGGCAGGCTGTGTTGTTGTTACTCGTCATCAGTAGTGCGTCACGTGACTGGTCCAGCCCATCCCGGAAAAAGGAAACAGCAGGGCAGTGGGCCGAAAAATATTGTTTACCATTTTCCTTTAACAGCGATTGAAAAAATAACATATTTAAATGGAAATAAACAGTGATTAAGTGCAGAGTATCCTCTAGTGCATTAGATTCTCTATTCACATCCCATTTGAGGTAAGTGTGTTCTGTGTAAGACAAGACACCAAGCTAGCCAGCTAACGTTAGCCTAGCAGTTAGCCAGCCTTTGCAGCTGTTCATACATTTCTAGACAGCTAGCTATCTGTCTGAAGGGCACTGTCCTTACTTTACAGAACGACATGTATAGGTAACAAAATTGCACTTGTGTACAAAAGCTGTCAGGTCTCGCATCGTGATGTGGTGCATGTTTAGTATGTGGTGACACGCCCAGAACCATGTTAGCTAGGATACTAGCTATAGTACAGTAAATGCTAGCTAACCTTTGTTGCTTTACTTGACTGCACAATTGATCAGCAATACTGTGATGTCAACAGTGTAGACGTTCTTGTTAATATATATTTTAGGAAGGTCGTACAATGTTATGGTACACATCTTGAATATGGTACTTAGCTAGTTGTACTTGTAAATGATAGTGGCGAAGTGGTCTAAGGCGTGAGTGTAGTGTTAGATCGTAGCCGGCCGCGACAGGGAGACCCATGGGGCGGCGCACAATTGGCCCAGCGTCGTCCAGGTTAGGGGAGGGAATGGCCAGCAGGGATGTATCTCATAAGGCCCAGCGTCTGCTAAATGACTAAAATTTTAAAAATGTAGTGTCATAGGCTGTGCCTGGGAGGAATACAATGGTGTGTGTTTTCCTGCAGTAAAAATGAATTATGTTTAGTTGCTTTCACATAAAGGTTATGATTGCAGTAATGGTGTGTTCAAGACAATTGGGAACTCAGGGGGAAAAAACAAGGTCAAATCATGACAGCTCTAGAAAGAGGCCCGAGTTCCCGACTTGAAATTCCATTTTTTTTCCCCAAGTTCCCAGTTGCCTTGAATGCACTGAAGTTGGAAGTCTGAGATTTCCCAGTTCCCGGCTGTTTTGAAAGCAGCGTAAGTCTGTCTGATATGTATTTTACAGTCACCACAATGACAGCCATCAAGCACGCCCTGCAGAGGGACATCTTTACGCCCAACGATGAGCGTCTCCTCAGCATTGTCAACGTCTGCAAGGCGGGGAAGAAGAAGAAGAACTGCTTCCTGTGTGCCACAGGTGGAGCATAAATGCCGTTAAAGTCTAACATAAATCAACTAATTTCACCATATCAGTGTGAAATAATGTACACATTCAAAACATGAAAACCACTGTCGGAGATTTATCATCAGAATCAGATGTCTCTGAACAGTGATTTCACTGAAAATACTAGTTATAAATGGATCCACAGATCACTCACACCCTTTTATTATAAATGTTTGTACCCCAGTCACCACAGAGAGGCCGGTGCAGGTGAGGGTGGTGAAGGTGAAGAAGTCAGACAAAGGGGATTTCTACAAGCGACAGATGGCCTGGGAACTGAGGGATCTGGCTGAAGTGGATGCAAAAGATGCCAGCAAGGTCAGGGAAAGACATTCATTTTTCTCATCTTCCTCTCACTGCCTGAATGTAATTTCTCATAACTTTGTCTTTCTCTCCTCCTCCTCTTCCACGCCCTGTGGCCATTCTTCTTTCCCTTCCTTTCTTCCTATGCTTTGTCCTCCTCCTGCTAATTTGGTTGATATTCACATTTGACATCTCTACTGTTCTGGTCATTCAGGAGAACCCAGAGTTTGACCTCCATTTTGAGAAGGTGTATCGATGGGTGGCCAGCAGCACAGCTGAGAAGAATTCCTTCATCTCCTGCATCTGGAAGCTGAACCAGCGTTACCTGCGGAAGAAGGTGGAGTTTGTGAATGTCAGTTCCCAGCTGCTGGAAGGTATGACAGCTCTCTAACAATGGGAGAGGATCAAAAGCATGTGTGTTTTCAAGTGACCCTCACTGTCCCCTGTGCCTTGCATCTATGATACTCTTCTTTCTTGCCAGTTCCCAATCTCCTGAACTCAACCTGAAGTGTCTATGTAACCTGTGAGTTGACCTTAGTGTGGCTTAACACGTCTTTATTCTTACTCTTCTCAAACTCTCACTGGCCAGAGCTTCCTAAAACGGAAGGTTGGTAGCAGTTAACTTCTTTTCCCATTTCCTCGCCATTGTGATTTCACTGTGATGAATAACCATTCTCATAGTGGACTCACACATCTTTGAAAGCTGTTGGTATTGTTTGCCTTCTTTGGCTAATGAGTGAGTGGCTGTTGAATGGGTGCTACTGTATGAATAATAATAGTCTGTTCTGCTTTTTGTTTAGTTTGTTGTATCATATAGTGTTTTTATAATATAGTTGTACAAATAGAAGGGTGATGTTTGTTTGTTTGTGTTCATGTGTGTGTACTGTACTGTATGCGATGTGCACATTGTTAAACCATCCTCTGCGTCCCTGGTTTAGAGTCAGTCCCCAGTGGTGAGAGCCAGAGTGTCGCAGGGGGTGACGAGGATGCTCTGGATGACTACCAGGAGTTGAATGCCCGTGAGGAGCAAGACATCGAGGGCATGATGGAGGTGTGCGAGTACGCCATCTCTAACGCTGAGGCCTTCGCTGAGAAACTCTCCAGGGAGCTACAGGTTCTGGATGGGGTGAGTAGACAGAGCCATGGAGCCTTGGGTCTTCTTGATACAGGGCTACAACATAGACTTGAGTTGCCTGACATATACTGACTACACTGACCACTGTCCTATGGTTGATCTATGGTTGAGCACATTAGTGTGGTTTGCCATAGAGAATGATGGAGGCCTCTAGTGGCCAAAAGGCTGTCTTAGTATGGTCAGCGCCATTGAGGGCTTCCACTATGTGTCCGCCATTTTAAAGTAGTCATAGTAGTCAACTGGGTGGGGATTCCTATTGGTTGTAGCCACAATGGCGCTGCCCATGCTGTCACAGACGCTAAAATGGCACAGATATAAAGATGAGTCCTCTATTTATCTCTATGGGTTTGGTTCATTGTGATTGGTTGAATAGTGTGGTTACATTGACAACCTCCCATAATCCCCCCAATCCCAGGCCAACATCCAGTCCATCATGGCATCTGAGAAGCAGGTGAACATCCTGATGCAGCTGCTGGATGAGGCTCTGTCGGAGGTGGACACCATCGAGGGCAAGCTGAGCAGCTATGAGGAGATGCTGCAGAGCGTCAAGGAGCAGATGGACCAGATCTCCCAGAGCAACCGCCTCATCCAGATCAGCAACACCAACAACGGCAAGCTTCTGGACGAGATCCAGTTCCTGGTGGTGAGGATGGAGTTGAGGATGGGGTTCATGTTTCAGTTGGTTTGGTTTGGTTTAATAAGATGATGTTGAATGATGAATGCCTGTCCCTCAGAACTACATGGACCTGTCGAAGGGACACATCAGGGCCCTGCAGGAAGGAGACCTCTCCTCCTCCAAAGGCATTGAGGCCTGTATCAACGCCTCTGAGGCTCTACTGCAGTGCATGAACGTGGCACTCAGACCAGGTCATGAGAAACTGATGGCTGTGAAGCAGCAGCAGCACCTGTTCACTGAGCTCAGAGATACCTTCGCCCGGCGCCTCACCAACCACCTCAACAACGTGTTCGTCCACCAGGTAATCCACATACCACGGTAACACTTTGCTAGTCCACAAGGTAATCTGAACATGGTCTCAAGATTTTTATTCAGATTTAAATTCAAAACACAGAGACCTGAACAGCATTTATGACTAGATGCCAGGCATAACAGAGCACTGTATACAGTGGCTTGCGAAAGTATTCACCCCCCTTGGCATTTTTCCTATTTTGTTGCCTTACAACCTGGAATTAAAATGGATTTTTTGGGGGTTTGTATAATTTGATTTACACAACATGCCTACCACTTTGAAGATGAAAAAATATTTTTTATTGTGAAACAAACAAGAACTAAGACTAAAATACAGAAAAGTTGAGCGTGCATAACTATTCAACCCCCCCCCCCCCCCCCCAAAGTCAATACTTTGTAGAGCCACCTTTTGCAGCAATTACAGCTGCAGGTCTCTTGGGGTATGTCTCAATAAGCTTGGCACATCTAGCCACTGGGATTTTTGCCCATTCTTCAAGGCAAAACTGCTCCAGCTCCTTCAAGTTGGATGGGTTCCGCTGGTGTACAGCAATCTTTAAGTCATACCATAGATTCTCAATTGGATTGAGGTCTCGGCTTTGACTAGGCCATTCCAAGACATTTAAATGTTTCCCCTTAAACCACTCAAGTGTTGCTTTAGCAGTATGCTTAGGGTAATTGTCCTACTGGAAGGTGAACCTCTGTCCCAGTCTCAAATCTCTGGAAGGCTGAAACAGGTTTCCCTCAAGAATTTCCCTGTATTTAGTGCCATCCATCATTCCTTCAATTCTGACCAGTTTCCCAGTCCCTGCCGATGGAAAAACATCCCCACAGCATGATGCTGCCTCCATCATGCTTCACTGTGCGGATGGTGTTCTCGGGGTGATGAGAGGTGTTATGTTTGCGCCAGACATAGCGTTTTCCTTTCCAAAAAGCTCAATTTTAGTCTCATCTGACCAGAGAACCTTCTTCCATATGTTTGGGAAGTCTCCCACATGCCTTTTGGCGAACACCAAACGTGTTTGCTTCTTTTGTTCTTTAAGCAATGGCATTTTTCTGGCCACTCTTCCGTAAAGCCCAGCTCTGTGGAGTGTACGGCTTAAAGTGGTCCTATGGACAGATACTCCAATCTCCGCTGTGGAGCTTTGCAGCTCCTTCAGGGTTATCTTTGGTCTCTTTGTTGCCCCTCTGATTAAATTACAGGTTGTAATGCAACAAAATAGGAAAAACGCCAAGGGGATGAATACTTTTGCAAGGCACTGTATGTGTTTCTTGTTACAGTATTTTAGTCTTTCCTCTTTTTGGCAGGCAGCTCTTTCCGTCCTCCTCATCCACTTCCTGGTTAAGCTCTGTCTCCTCTGATCCTGTCTCTTCCTGTCTCTGTCCTGTATTCTTCCTGTACTGCTCTGGTCCTCCTGTTCTTCACTCTGTGCCTCTGCCTCACTCTAAACCACCCCATTTTGATCGCTCTGCTCTCTGTCCCTGTACTTCTGTAGTTCAACCACTTCAGTCACTTCAAAATGACCATCCCTCAGTTCTATAGGTCCTCCTGTATGTCGCTTCCAGTGAGTAGTACCCTCACAGCAACCCCCTTGACCCCTCCACTCTAACCTATGAACTTTCCTACTTATCTATACACCCGTGTTTTCTTGTGAAAACGCATTACTGACCGCATGGGTCGTGCTGCTCATGACTACATTGCTAACCCTCCTCTCTTTCATTTCAATGGGTCTAAAAGCCTCAGACCTTCCTCCACCACCTCCTTCATTGAAGGGCTTGGTTCTTCTTGCACTGTGCTTCCTGTGCCAGAGTGCTGTGCTGGGGTGCCATGTCATTATACCTCTGCCTGTCTGCTCTACCTGCATGCTTGGTAGCAGCACCAGTAGCAAGTAAATAGACTGAGAATGGTAGAATATGAGGAAACCCACTGATAGCTCAGTTGGTAGAGCATGGCGCTTGCAACGCCAGGGTTGTGGGTTCGTTTCCCACGGGGGGCCAGTATGAAAAATGTATGCACTCACTAACTGTAAGTCGCTCTGGATAAGAGCATCTGCTAAATGACTAAAATGTTTTTTTTTTAAATGTAAATATGGGACTTTTTGCAACAAATGAAACGTGTGATTGTCAATTAAGTTATTTGATTTGGAATATTAAGGTCTGGGATATGGACTGAAGAGTATTTTAAATGGTTAATCTTCTACTAACACCTGTTTTAATGGTGTATTAGGCATACATATGTCCAGATCCCCATGAATGCAGGGGATGTCCCTAAAGGGACCAAGGGGGTCAAAGTCAGTCTTTCTTTGCCTGTGTGTGAAACGGAGAGTTTGTGTTTCTCTATATGTCAAACCCTTGTTAATTCCCTGTGCTGCCTGTTTCCAGGGCCATGACCAAAGCGCCACACTGTCCCAGCACATGGCAGAGCTGACCCTGCCTAAACACAACCCCCTACACAGGGACCTGCTGCGTTACGCCAAGCTCATGGAGTGGCTCAAGAACACCCAGAGAGAGAAGTACGAGGGCCTGTCCAGGGTGAGTGGCTTTGTCGTGAAACATCATCATCATTACCACTATCTGTTATCATCATTACCACTATCTGTTATCATCATTACCACTATCTGTTATCATCATTACCACTATCTGTTATCATCATTACCACTATCTGTTATTATCGTTACCACTATCTGTTATCATCGTTACCAGTATCTGTTATCATTGTTACCACTATCTGTTATCATCATTATGATGATCACCACCACTATTACATCTCTATTTATATCATCACCAGCAGCACAACGATAACGTCTTACTGCATTTCATGACAATTAAACAAATGTTAATTTGAATTTTCTCTCCATTTTCAGACCTATGTTGATTACATGACCAGATTATATGAACGAGAAATCAAAGATTTCTTTGAGGTGGCGAAGATCAAAATGGCGGGCACAACCAAGGAGGGGAAGGGAAATAAGTTTGGTAAGACCTCTTGAGTGTTTTTAAAAAATGTGTGTGTGATTGTTTGTCTTTTCTTTTCTCTGTGTAGCCTTGTAGTTTGCTGTGTGGTTTGTTTTAAGGTGTCCTTTAGCCAATTAGTTGTTTTTCCCTTGGGTTGTTGCGTATGGTTTGTATTTGTGGTGTGTGTGTGTGTAATTGTGTTCAATATTTGAGTTTATGTTAATCTGTACTGTTTGTAACACCACCAGCTTTTTCTGCATGGTTCATTCCAGCAAACATGTACTTACCTGGCCATACTGCCTCCTGTTTCATAGCCTTTCACTGCCTAGGAAATGCCCCTGTGTGATGTCATTGTCCTGCTCAGTGTTGCTAGCTGGTGTTTTGCTCAATGTTATTTCCCTATTTGGCTGCTTACTGTATGAAGCCATCACATAAACCAGAGCCTGATATTATCCCTACTACTCATTCTGACTGCAGAGTATGACACTAATTGAGTGTTTTAAGACTAACTGGAGATCCTAAACATTACAAGAAGAATGAAAACACTCATTTAAGTTTTCCTGTAAAGTAAACTGATATACAGTACCAGTCAAAAGTTTGGACACACGTACTCATTCAAGGGTTTTTCTTTATTTGTACTATTTTCTACATTGTAGAATAATAGTGAAGACATCAAAACTATGAAATAACACATATGGAATCATGTAGTAACCAAAGAAGTGTTAAACAAATCAAAAGAGATGTTATATTTGAGATTCTTCAAAGTAGTCACCCTTTGCCTTGTTGACAGCTTTGCACACTCTTGGCATTCTCTCAACCAGCTTCATGAGGTAGTCACCTGGAATGCATTTCAATTAACAGGTGTGCCTTATTAAAAGTTAATTTGTAGAATTTATTTCCTTCTTAATGCGTTTGAGCCAATCAGTTGTGTTGTGACAAGGTAGTGGTGTAAAAATAAAGAAAAACCCTGGAATGAGTAGGTTTGTCCAAACTTTTGACTGGTACTGTATATTAAAGTAAGGGCTCGAGTCAATCCCTAGCGCGGAAGATCTGCGTTGTAGTGCAGTTGAAATGTACATGTAATTTCTGTTTGAGCCGACATGCGTTTACCGTGAATGCAGTCTCCACGAACTCGGAAACATTGCCTTTAAATGTAAATTGCGCAATAACGCTAATGTTTTGCGATATGAATTGAATTGAGCCCTCAATATATTTATATTTCAATGCTCTGAAAAACAACCTTTTTGTTTAGAGAGCTTTGGTTTGGCAGGATTATAAGGCTCTGTTTTCTGTTAAAGTTAAGAATTTCAGTCTTAACCTTTCCCTCTAGAGAACAAACTGAGCAAAACATTTGTTTTCCAAAAGGTTGTCAGCCTCTGTAGCGCATGTCAGTCTGTTACCTTTGACCTCTTAACGTGCCCCCATGCTGCATGTCATGAGCCTAACATGTCTCTGTCTCTGATGCCTGCCATTCTAACCGTCCGTCAGCCACGCTTCCGCGGAAAGAGAGTGCTCTCAAACAGGAAACGGAAAGTAAGTATCCCATTTGGGTCACGCAGTCGCACACCTGTAACTTGCCCCCCACACCCCCCCCCCCCCCACACCCCTACCCACCTGCTCCCCACTACTATGTCCCTGATACTGCAGCACAGCCAGGACCCCCTTCCCCTCGCTCAGAACCCTCCTCCTCTACTGACTTCCTCAGTACACCCAACCTGCCATTTATAGACCCTTTTACTGGCCGCTTGTTAAAGAGCACCTAAACTAACATCAATCAGACATAAAATCAATAAGCATGTACATTCTTTATGTATGGCATAGGATAATACTCATTCACAATACAAAAGGATACATTGAGGTCAACATATCCAGCAAGTTTCTCTGATAATGAATGTCCAACATCCATAATAAGATTAATTTGAACTCTTACAAATGGTCATTACTACCGAGCACACCTTTCAATGTTTCATATGTTCTTCTCTCTCAATTGTCTTCAGCTGTTCATGTTATGTGTAATTACTGCTAAACTAACATGTTTTAAAGATGCATATTCACATGCGCTTTGTGGCACACTTTTTCAGAAGCCACAAAGTTATTTATTTTCAATAGCACAGTTGCTCTGCTTTGAAAATAAGTCCCTGTGAATGCAGCTTTGGTCTCAGGGGCTATGGATAGGGCAGTGTTCTACAGACTAGTATTTAGCCTGTGGTTTGAACATGTTTTCAACTGTTTCCCCTCTGGTGCCCCAGGCCTGCATGGCAGCTCTGGGAAGCTTACAGGCTCCACCTCCAGTCTGAATAAGCTGGCAGTGCAGGGCTCCAGCAGTAGGCGCTCCCAGTCCTCCTCTCTGCTGGACATGGGCAACATGTCTGCCTCAGACCTGGATGTGGCCGACAGGACCAAGTTTGACAAGGTGATAGTCACTGAGAGGACCATAGCCACCATACACTACCCCCTTTATCGTGCAGATACTACCTGTGGGTTTTTGTTGATCTCTTTTTCATTTTAGATTCGTAGTTTGTTTTGTGTGTTTATTTATATTGATCAATTGATTTAGGTGTCTCTCTTTTTGTAGATCTTTGAGCAGGTTCTTATTGAGCTGGAGCCTCTCTGTCTAGCAGAACAAGACTTCATCAGCAAGTTCTTCAAGCTACAGCAGCACCCCACCCTGGCTCAGGTAAAGTACATGCTAATCTGACTGGCTGAGTGTTTGCAAGTGAGATTATGAATAACTTTTGATTAACCACTGTTTTTTCTATCAGGGAGAAGTGGAGGAGTCGGATGGGGGGGTGCCCTCCAGACAGCCCCCTCCAGGGGAACACAGACACTTCATATCATCGACTGAGTGAGTAGCTAGCTTCTCATTTCTTACTGAGATTTACTGTATGCTCTTAACGTCCATCAATAGTACTAGGGGCACTAAACATGCAACGAATATTACAAGTCCATATGTCATCTTTCATGGTCCACCTCTCGCCTATCCTCCTCTTCACTTTTACCATATTCTCTTTCTTTCTGTCTTATCACCTGTCTGGGCCTCCTCAGGAAGGACATGGTGCGGTTGATGATGAACAAGATCTTCCAGAGCATTGAGATGGAACTTAACAGCCTCATCGCCCTGGGAGACAAGATTGACAGCTTCCACTCCCTGTACATGTTGGTGAAGATGAGTCACCACGTGTGGACGGCCGAGAATGTGGACCCCGCCTCCTACCTCAGCACCACCCTCGGCAACGTGCTGGTCACCGTCAAAAGGAACTTTGACAAGTGCATTGTGAGTATAGCTCACGTCAAAATTTTTCTAGGGATCTGTGTATCTAGTACTGTTAAAGACTGTTGGCTGTGTGTGTGAACCAGTTATTTTTCTGTCTCAGTCTGGTCAGATTAGACAGATGGAGGAGGTGAAGATCTCTAAGAAGAGCAAGGTGGGCATCCTGCCCTTTGTCACTGGGTTTGAGGAGTTCGCTGAGCTGGCTGAAACCATCTTCCGTAATGCAGAGCGCAGAGGAGATCTGGACAAGGCGTATGTCAAGCTCATCAGAGCTGTCTTCATGAATGGTGGGTCTAATGATTTGGTGGACACGTTAAATAAAGTCATGTGGATGGCTTCTAATCTGTATGATGGTTGGGAAGCAGTGCTCTGATTGGTGTTGGTCTTGCTGTGGGGTGTTTCCAGTGGAGAAAGTGGCCATTGAGAGTCAGAAGACACCCCGTGACGTGGTGATGATGGAGAACTTCCACCACATCTTCTCCACACTGTCCCACCTTAAGATCTCCTGCCTGGAGACAGAGAGACGAGAGGCAAAACACAAGTACACAGACCACCTGCAGTCCTACGTCATCAACTCCCTGGGACAGCCCCTAGAGAAACTCAATGTGAGAGAGAGGGTTTATACTTGGCAATGTTAGTGTCGTGAGGGAGTGGGCCAAGGGTGTAGACACTGAATTGAATTAGTTTCATGTTTGTATGTAATCTATACATTGTATGATACATATAACTCATTAGAACTGTCAGATATTTCAGACATACTCTAAACATATGCGAAACATATAGAATGAAACATTGCACACAGCTAATCAGGTATGCCCGTCTATGCTTTGCAGCACTTCTTTGAGGGAGTGGAGGCACGTGTGGCCCAGGGCGTACGTGAGGATGAGGTGAGCTACCAGCTGGCGTTCAACAAACAGGAGCTGCGTAAAGTGATCAAGGAGTACCCCGGCAAGGAGGTAAAGAAGGGACTGGACAACCTGTACAAGAAGGTGGACAAGCATATGTGTGAGGAGGAGAGCCTGTTACAGGTGAGAGACAGACAGTCTAGCAGTTTATCATAACAAATATTTTGTACACTTTAACAGCTGGTAATGTAAATTTGTTGTAATGGTTTATCAATTGTGGCGCAGTGGTCTAAGGCGCTGCATCGCAGTGCTAGCTGTGCCACTAGAGATCCTGGTTCGAAACCAGGCTCTGTCGTAGCCGGCCGCGACTGGGAGACCCATGGGGCGGCGCACAATTGGCCCAGCGTCGTCTAGGATAGGGGAGGGAATGGCCGGCAGGGGATGTAGCTCAGTTGGTAGAGCATGGCGTTTGCAACGCCAGGGTTGTGGGTTCGATTCCCACGGGGGTATGAAAAATAATAATAATGTATGCACTCACTAACTGTAAGTCGCTCTGGATAAGAGCGTCTGCTAAATGACTAATGTAAATGTAAGTTCTCTTTGTACAATAATTGGATGAATTCCCCATTTCCTCCACTAGGTGGTGTGGCATTCCATGCAGGATGAGTTCATTCGTCAGTACAAGCACTTTGAAGGCTTGATTGGCCGTTGCTACCCTGGGTCTGGAATTACCATGGAGTTTACCATTGGAGACATGTTGGAGTACTTCTCAAGCATTGCTCAATCACATTAATTGCAAGAATACATGTGTGTATATATACTGAACAAAAATATAAACGCAACATGCAACAATTTCAAAGATTTTACTGAGTTACAGTTCATATAAGGAAATCAGTCAATTTAAAACATTAATTAGGCCCTAATCTATGGATTCCACATGACTGAGAATACAAATATGCATCTGTTGGTCACAGATACCTTTAAAAAATATATATCTGTTGGTCACAGATACCTTTAAAAAATATATATAGCGGTTTGGATCAGAAAACCAGTCAGTATCTGGTGTGACAACCATGTGGCTCATGCAGCGCGACACATCTCCTTCGCATAGAGTTGATCAGGATGTTGATTGTGGCCTGTGGAATGTTGTCCAACTCCTCTTCAATGGCTGTGCGAAGTTGCTGGAACATGCTGTCGTACACGTTGATCCAGAGCATCCCAAACATGCTCAATGGGTGACATGTCTGGTGAGTATGCAGGCCATGGAAGAACTGGGACATTTTCAGCTTCCAGGAATTGTGTACAGAGGGGTGACATGGGGCTATGCATTATCATGCTGAAACATGAGGTGATGGCAGCGGATGAATGGCACGACAATGGGCCTCAGGATCTTGTCACGGTATCTCTGTGCATTGAAATTGTCATCGATAGAATGCAATTGTGTTCGTTGTCCGTAGCTGATGCCTACCCATACCGTAACCCCACCGCCACCATGGGGCACTCTGTTCACAACGTTGACATCAGCAAACCGCTTACCCACACCGCTGCCATCTGCCCGGTACAGTTGAAACTGGGATTCATCTGTGAAGAGCACACTTTTCCAGCGTGCCAATGACCATCGAAGGTGAGCATTTGCCCACTGAAGTCGGTTACGACCCCAAACTATAGTCAGGTTAAGGACAACGAGCACGCAGATGGTCCCGCAGGTGAAGAAGCCAGATATGGAGGTCCAGGGCTGGTGTGGTGCGGTTGGAAGTACTGCAAAATTCTCTAAAACGATGTTGGAGGCAGCTTATGGTAGAGAAATAAACATTCAATTCTCTGGCAACAGCTCTGGTGGACATTCCTGCAGTCAGCATGCCAATTGCACACTCCCTCAAAACTTTAGACATATGTGGCATTGTGTTGTGTGACAAAACTGCAAATTTTAGAGTGGCCTTTTATTGTCCCCCAGCACAAGGTGCACCTGTGTAATCATGCTGTTTAATCAGCTTCTTGATATGCCACACCTGTCAATTGGATGGATTATCTTGGCAAAGGAGAAATGCTTACTAACGGGGATGTAAACAAATTTGTGCACAACATTTTAGAGAAATACGCTTTTTGCGCATATGGAACATTTCTGGGATCTTTTATTTCAGCTCATGAAACATGGGAATAACACTTTACATGTTGCATTTATATTTTTGTTCAGAATAACATTACACATGCTCTCTATTGCTTCATAGTGCCTCACACAAAATAAACATTATTTACTGGAATCAATCCGCCGTTGCTGTGTGTGGCCAATATGAAGTAGACTGAATGAAATTGATTGAACTGCACTTGAAATTGTCTGGAAGGGAATTAATGAATGAACAGTTTTCAAAAAGTTGTGTGTGCGTGCGTCAGGTAGCCAAACGGTTAAGAGCATTGGGCCAGTAACCGAAAGGTTGCTGGTTCAAATCCTCGAGCCAACTAGGAGAAAAATATGCCGACCTGCCCTTGAGCAAGGCACTTTAATTGCTCCTGCAAGTCGCTCTGGATAAGTGTCTGCTAAATGACTAAAGTGTGTGTGTGTGTGTGTGTGTGTGTGTTCATATTTGCACAGAGATCACATAATGTTACTGATTTCTTATTTAAATTGTAATTGTGTGACTTTTTCTTTGTTATAACACTAATCACCTGTACACAATAAACTCTTCAAAATTAAGAGGTTAAAATGTTGGTTTGTATGGCACTACTCAAAAAATCTTAAGCCTTCTGTGATCACTGATGTCTTTAACTTTGTAGAGAGTCACAGAATATCAGTCATCTACTGGAATCTTCATCCCAAATTAAGCATTGGGAATCTTTTTGTTCTGATAAACCATGTGTGACTTTTCAACAGAATGCCATATTGCCAAATATATATATTTTTTTTATGTCCCATTTTGCTTGGATGTTTTTTTTACTTTTATTTTATAGTTGATGATACTACTACAGCCTATGAATAATACAAACAGTCACAGTTGTCCTCGTTTGTTAAAAATGTATTGAACTCGTTGCATACCTGCCAACTTTTCAAAAAACCTTGGAGTGAGATTTTGTCCTGGGTCCGCCTGGGTCCTGCAGTCGGTGAAAAGCAATTGCACTGCCTGCGTCTCAGAACTGCGGCCGCCTTGATCTCATGAGGTTATCGTTGCCCACGTGTGCATGACGTCAGAGAAAGTCGGGATCAAGTCGGACACAAATCTAACCAGCATGCATTGGGCGGTGATCGCCGGTGATCGATTCTGCACAGACCTGGCTCATCTCAAATGAGCCTCTTGTCTATGATCTGTCGGCATGGTTATACTGGCCTGTGGCCTTCTTGGAGGCCTTGATGATATCGGAGGGGGGCTCCCATTTGAAGCAGGGCTCCAGATTGGCCATCTTTATGGTCATTATTGAGGACCGGGTGCCATCCAATGCTAGGCTGTGTCTTCTCTTGGTTTTGTTCAGTCCCACAACTGAAAACACCCTGTCAGCATCTGCGTTTGCATGGGGCAACACCAGGACAAGCTTGGCGACGGCAGCAAGCCTCTCGAATTCTTTGGCTCCTGTCACCTATGGAAAATGCACCAAAACACAATGGAAAAACATACCTTGATTTTTGATTGATTCATACTGTAAGTATACTGTAGGTTGATCCATTAGCAAAGTTCAGATAAAAACATGCATAATTTGCAACATGCATGACACATATATGCATGCAACAATTTTAAGCAACAGATGTAGCCAAGCCACCCCTGCCAAAAGGAAAGACAAAAAATGAAAAAATGTTTACCTTATGCTTCCGGGTTGCCATTTCAGCCCAGAAGCTTTCCATTTCAGTTTCGTCCTGCAGGGATATCATTGGCATGGTCTGATAATTTAGAAACTCCTCACCCAGAAGGTCATGCTCCTCTGGCCCATGGTATGGGAGGAGATGGGGAAACCTATTTATGAAAGTAGAGTTACAAGTTGTTACGTTTTAGGTATATAGTCATCAACCAGCAGCAGTTCATACACATCTTTGAGGAGAAGCCACATAAGAATATATCATGTGCAGTTTAGGAGTGAACACACCTCATCATAAAACACAGGGTATTTTAGCTAAGATGATAGACAATAATTAGAGATAAAAACTAACCTTTCAACAGAGTCACTTTCAGCCCTCTGCCGTACATCTACAAATTGTGCGTGCTTGATCAGTGGCTCTTCCAGTGGCAGCTTCTTAAGTGCATAGTCCACAGCACTTGTCAGGAAACACAACACAGCTTCATGGAATGAATCCACCTGCTGTGGTGTGATGTCACCCTCGTCGAGTAATTTGTTAAGTTTAGCCCTGGTTGTGAACCCAATGTTCAACTTTCTTCCTGTCACAGATACAGCATATCGGTATAAGGTACAAGGCTAAATATCACATATCACAGTGTTTGATCATAATAATAGTAAAATACTAACCTGGTAAATGGTTTGCCTTTTCTTTAAAGGCAATTTCACAAGGCTCCTCATGGCACTGCAGAGCTGCTGGAACCATAAACTTGGAACATAGCTTGCGTACGAATTTCACCATCTATAACAGACATTTACAAAAATAGTAGGTGAAACCTGTTTTAGAGGATCCCTGCAGATATCAGCAAGAAACACAGAATGGAAAAAAACAGCAAAATCCAATCCCACCTCATCATGTAACAAAAATATTGATGACTGCTCTCTCTGAAGCAGCAAGTTGAAAGAAGTGAAAGTTGGTACGGTGGCTTGGAAGAACAGCAGGTACACTTCTGTCATGGGGTCAGTGAATGTCTGCACAAGTCTCTTGAACCTGGCCTGATTTTAATCTTGAATCAATCAATAAATAACACAAAACAAGAGGTTGTCGTTAATACAAGTATGTGACTAACAATCCATGTAGTTGCTGCATAATGAAATTGAAAATGTATGACCATACTAGCAGATTTGTAGTAGCTGGCCAGAGGTTCATACAGCCTCAGGATCCTGGTCACACAACGTTCAAGGCTTAGCCAACGGACCGAGATATGCAGGAGGACCTCCATGTACTCCGCTTCATGGAGCTCACAAAACTCTGTTTTAGACATTAAATCCATATCATATATTTTCTACAGCTCAGCATTTCAGTATTACACTTAATAGTATCAAACATGCATACCTGTCAGGTATCCTTTCCGATTTGTGCTACCCTTGAACCAGTAACCGATGTCCACTACCATATCCTCCAAATCAAAACCGGACACCTGCAATGCATAAATCAATCATAACACATTCAGTCAATGCACGTAATTAGGATACAAATAAAAAGTTACATGTAAAGATAAATCAGGCCTTAACTCACTTTAAAAAATCCCACTCCTGCAGCGTTGGCGGTGTTATGTGCCACATGACAAGGACAACCATGAATATAGGTGTTGGGATGCTTCTGGAGCACCCTAGAGGCAATGTAATTACGTGGTCCAATGTTCACAGCTGCATTGTCAACTGAGAGACCAATGCAGTTCTCCCAAGGGATGCCATGCTCCTCTATGGTGGAGTTAATTTTGGTGAAGATCTCACTTGCTGTCCCACACCTCGTCCCACTTGTTGTGCACATATTTAAGAACTGGTGGACAACTTTGCTGTCCATGAAGACCCGGACAGTAAGCGGGTTCATCTTTTCCACTCCTATAATGACAAGTTAGAATCATACAGATGTTCATGTTATTAGATGTTTAAAAATACACAAAGCACATGTTTTGCAGAGGAGAAAAATCTCAAATAGTTTGTGAAATACCAGTGTCATTCGACCCATCTGTAACAATGGTATACAGGGCTTTTTTCATCT